TTACACTGCCACATTTCCAGAGGACTTCCTGTGACTTTGAATTTTTGTCTCCTATCCCTACCCTTAGAACATTGAAAAAGAAAAAAAAAGCTGTAAAAATGGAAGAGTTGTTTGGGGGAGAGGGAGATGTTAAGAGTTTTCTAAAAATTAAAATTTAGCTATTTTGCTGTGAATGTTCAGTGAAATGATCTTAGTGGATGGGATATTATGAAAGCATAGGGCCTACTCCCTATGGGGTGAGAAATGGTATAGGACACTGGTTCCCAAACTTTTTCAGTCCACTGCCCCCTTGGTGCTACAAACTCATCCACAGTGCCCCCCACCCAGGGATGGGATTCAAATTTCTTAACTGGTTCTGTGGGTGTGGCCTATTTTGTGGGTGTGGCTTGATAGTCATGTGACTGGCTGGGCGCGGCTCGGTGGTCATGTGACTGGCCGGGCGTGGCTTGGTGGTCATGTGACTGGCAAGTGGTCGCTTAATGGCCAGTTGCTTAGCAAATTTATGACTGAACTCTCCAGAGCTATTTGACCAGTTTTTGGAGTTTTGACAGCCATGCACACACACACACACACACACACTCTCCCTTTTAACCCTGCTTGAGCAGGTGGTTGGACTAGATATCTCATTCACCTTCTCCTCCCTCCCTTTCTTTCTGTCCCTTCCTTCCATCCCCCCTCTTTGTCTATCCCTTTTCTTCCTTTGTCTCTCCCTTTTTCTTTCCCTATTCTTTTTCTTTCTTGTCTCTTCCTTCTCTCTTTCCCTCTCTTTCTCTCTCCCTCCCTCCATATCCCATTCACTTTCTCCTCCCTCCCTCCCTTTCTTTCTCTTTCCCTCTCTTTCTTTCTGTCCCTTCCTTCCATCCTCCCCTTTTTTTGTCTATCCCTTTTCTTCCTCTCTCCCTTTTTCTTTTTTTACTTTGTCTGTTCCTTCTCTTTCTCTCTTTCTCTCTTTCCCTCTTTCTCTCTCTCTCTCTCTCTCTTTCCCCCTCTCTCTATCCCTTCTCTAACCTATCTACCTATTTTCTGCCCAGGCAGGCGTGGCCTAAGCTGTCAAAACCCTGGGCTAATCCTGCATCACCCCATTTCCCCTTTCAGAGACCCTGGCCCTTAATTTCCCCGTTTCCTCCCCCACAACTGCATCTTTCATCGTCCCACAGCCGTGACTTTACCGTCCTCCCACGATTGGCTGCCAGGGAAGGCAAGCCAGGGCTGAGCCATTGTTGTCACTGGGCTCCCTGCCAGCACGTCACCTTTGTCACGAATGCCTGCAGCCTCCACGTGTTTTTTTCGGTGAGGGTAGACTGCAGCCGCACCTAAAAAAACACATGGTTGCTGCAGGCTGTGGCTGGAAAAAAAGATGCGGTGTCTGGATACTTTTTGGAGTGAAAATTACCGACCTCCTGCTTTGCTTGCTCCACTTCTTCAATGTGCCACTGTGGTCATCAGCGATTGTCGTGCATGCGTGCAATGTCGTGCATGCGCAATAAGAACTGGGCAGGGAACAGAAGAGTGGGCAGAGAGGAGTAGGGCTAGCCAGGGGCCCGTTTTACCTGTTTTCCGAACTACTGGGAACAGTAATGAACCAGTAGAATCCTACCCCTGAATTGCGCCCTGCGAGGGGCCCACCTCCAGCACTCTTCTGCTGCCCCCCTTGCCTCTTAGCGCTGCCTGTCATCCCACTGCCCCCCAGGGGGCGGTACCACCCACTTTGGGAACCACTGGTATAGGGCAAGGGTCTTCAAACTTCACAGCTTAAGACTTGTGGACGTCAACTGCCAGAATTCCTCAGCTAACATGACTAGAGGAGGAATTCTGGGAGTTGAAGTCCACAAGTCTTAAAGCTGCGAAGTTTGAAGACCCCTGGTATAGGGTATTCTTTTATCTTGTCCTATTCAGGATATCAATGCCCAGTGCAAGTCACCTAACTATTGTGGATTACAATTGACATCATGTCTAACTACTGATCAGACTATTTTAGGACTGATGGGAAGTATTGTTTAAAATATCTGGAAAACTGGGAAATCAGTTCTGTTGCACATTTACCATTCTGTTGATACTTTAATAGCAGAAATGTTTTCTACTTATAGGTAGTCTTCAACTAACAACCACAACTGGGAGCAGAATCTTGGTCGCTAAGCAAAGCAGTCTGCTTCTCTCAATGACTGCAATCCTGATTCTGTTAAGCAATTTTGTGGAAGGAGTCCCATGTAAGAATGGGGTGCCTAAGGAAGGTGGGGGCAACAGTGGGAGGCTCCACTAAGGAGCTGAAAATCCTTCCTAAAGAAATCCAATACAGCCCGTAAGTGAAGAGTCAGTCATGTACAGCATGCGTCAGTCTTCCCAGAGCCTCCCCTACCCACCTGAGGCATCCTACGCTCCTTTTCTCATCTTGCTGCTTCTCTGCTTGTATTTCAGCTCCTTCTCATCTCTGGGGACTGATTGAAAGAACTGCCTGCCAAAGAATTTTATCTCCCCACTGGGTATGGAAACTCCTTCAATGGGGTGCAGAAATGGAGCTGAAATTTTCAGGATTTCAGCTCCATTTCTGCACTCTGCTGAAAAAGTTCAGCTCTCCTCCATGCATGGAAGGCAACTGTTTTGCTCGGGTGTAAGAACAGAGCTGAAATCTTTGTTTCTGCGCTCTATCAAAGGCGTTCAGTTCCCCTCCATTCATGGAAAGATATTCCTTTGGATGGCTACAGGACTGAGTTCTTGCCCCTCAGCAAGCAGCTCTTTAAGTCAGTTCCTAGAGATAAGAGTGAATCCTCCTGCCAAGTGGCAGCAGCTTGCCGCTGGTTTCCCATTGGGTTTCTATGGAATCTGCAGAGCGGTTTGCAAATGGCGGGCGCACAATTTCAGGGCACTTGGCTGCTAGGGCAAACAGGATGCCAAGCACTCAGATCATGACTATGTAATTGCAGTTCTGATCATATTTTAGGGAAGACATTGAGAAATTGGACCATGCCTGGTGGAAAACAACTAAGATGAGGAACATGAAGAGATATAGTTACAAACTATTGGAGAATAAAATGCTTAGCATGGAGATAAAATGTCTGTGGGAGACATGATAGCTATCTTTCAGGGTCTGAAGGACTGTCATTGTCAGGGGGGAAAAGTACGATAAAGGGTGGCAGCGAATTACATATCTCAGAGTTGGCTATCTGTTACGGTTCTGGCAGTTACTCCAATTAAATCATGAGCCTTGAGCCACGCTCCCAAAACTAAAGATGATCTATTTGAAGGTAACATTCTAATCCAGCACTAATTTGAGTGTAGGCAATTCTGAGATATGTAATTCACTGTCACCCTTTATCCTGCTTTTCCTCCACCCCTCTGTGTGTATCATCCAACGAAAAAACATCCACAGCCAAGTCATCAATCATGCTCTCCAATTAGATTTTTTCATGGCAGAAGCTTCAGCCATCTAATCAGTCTTAGAAGAAAATATGAATGGAATGTACTTTCGATTTCACCGTTGCCTGCTCTTTGAAACTCCCCCCACTTCTTTCTGTTGTCAACTATAAAAAGTGTATACAAAATGTTTTATGAGTTGACAGTCATGTAGAAGATGGGGCAGAATTGTTCAGTTCTAATAATAAATTATTCAATAGATTATATGAAAAGGTGACAGTCTCTCCTTTGTGAAAATTGTTTAAATAGAAGGTGAATGAATTAACATTCCAACTGGAATGGGCAAGGGGTTAGCTAGAAGAGCTCCAAGTTACTTTCCAGCCCTCATAGTCCATGAATTTATATATAAGCTTTCGAGGCATATATGCTTCTGGATTAGAAATACTCTGCTTAAAGGAAGCAACGTTATCTATTTCTACAGCACTTTCCATACAACAGATGTCTACCATACTTTGCGTTATTAAGAAACAGCATAGTTAAGTATAGTTTGACTGTGGTGAATTCGACAGCTGATACATTCTCCAGTACAACCTTTTCCTTTTCTCCTATATGTAATATTCTACAGTATTTGCCTCATACATATGGCTGAACACTAATCCTGCAAATAAGATTCAAGATAGGGAGCACAGTCAAGACATATCCCTGAGTGTCCATATTCTGCCCCAAAACCTGTTCAGACATTACTTAATATACTTTGCAAACCTTTTCCATCAGCTGGTTGTGTTAACTAATGCATGATATTATGAATAGGTTTATTTATATTTTTGAGATAAATGCTTAAGGTCATAGGTATTGCAAATTACAGATTCCTATTGCAGAGCAAGTTCTCTTATAAATATCTCGAGGAGGCTGGAAAGGGAGAGCTTATAAGACTTAAGTGCAGGCTAGTAAGGTAATAGTTTTTTAATTTAAATTTTATAGTCAACATTCAATATGCTGAATCCTGTTAATTACCACAAGAAACAGGTCTAAATATGCTGAGTTCTTTTAAAAATTTCATTATGTTTCCATTCCATTATTTCCCTAGTGTTCTCTTCCTCAAATTCGCACCAAGATTGTTTTGAAAGATTGGAGATATAAACAATTTCTAAGCACATATTTCTTACCAGTGTGTTCTCTCCAGTTGAACTATTCCAGAGTCTCATGCGATCATCTGTACCAATTGTCAAAAGGTAAAGCCCATCACTGGTAAAACATAAGCCATTGACTCTTCCATTATGGGCAGTATTTACTATAAAGAAAATATGCAAGATTTGAAATTCTGTATGGCAACATATAGAGTCTGGTATTACAAAAGAATTATTATATCATGAAAACATTTTGTTTTGAAATTTTAAAAATTATATCAAAATATCCTATTATATAACATTTATTATGGAAAAGTTAAGTACTGTATTTAAGGATTTACTGGTAGCATTATTAGAATAATATCTACATTGGGACACCAATGTCATTTTATTTTCCTTTTTGAAAGGAAAAGGATCAAGTTAAAAAAAAAAAGCAATGCTAGATGAAATATATGATTGAGCAATTTATTAAATAGCAGCCAATATTTTTAATTTCAGTTCTTTTATTATGGAATGTGGCATCCAAATTTTTACTGTCAAGAAAAAGATATTTACATCATCTTATTTTTCTTCTGCTAATACCACTTTTAATGGCTATTCTTTAGCTAGATCTGTGCCTAAAAGAAGTTCCATCCAGGTGTGGGATACTGGGGGTTCGCAGGAGTTCGTGAGAGTCCCTATCTAAGATTCTGTGCAGTTCAGAGAATCCCTAAATCTCACTCCTAGCTGGCCCCGCCCCTGCCCCCCCCAGAAGTCCCCACGCAGTCCATTTTGGATGCAGCTAAGTGCAGGGCGTGCATGGAGGCTTGGGGAGGGCAAAAAGCAGGCCTCCTGGAAGTTCAGGAAGGCTGGAAATGGGCCGTTTCCGGCTTCCAGAGAGCCTCCGTAACCTGGGGAGGCCATTTTCGCCCTCCTGGAGGCTCGAGGAAAGCCTCCAGAGCCAGGGGAGGGCAAAAACACCCCCCGCTGCCGCCATGGTGCAGGAGGCCAATTAGGCCATGCCCATCATGGCCATGCCCACCCAGCAACCAGGCAGAGAATCCTTTGCTAAAACTTTTGAAGCCCACCCCTGGTTCCACCTGGGTGCACTTGCAGTAAAAATGGAGTAATGGCTGGTGTCAGGTGCCAGCAACCAGATCCACAGGTGTAAGCTTCAAGCCAACTACTTCATTATATTCTGCCTATTATATAGGAGTTTCTTCAGACTATGAGTCTTTGCCTGGGAACAGACAGACAAGGCTCTATGAAGTTTAAGGGACGATCATTTCTAGATCTCTTGTAACCTGGGCCATTGATAGTTACATTAATGACTCCTCGCTTGAGTAGTTGCAACACGTGGAATCGTGGAATGCCAGGGTTGGGAGGCATTTTGGAGATCATCTGGTTTAGCTCCATGACCAATGCAGTTTTTCTCTGCAGTAAAACTAAGGGCAGCTTATTGTTCCCTTGCTCATTAACACTAATATGCTTGAATATTTTTTCTGAAGTAAGATGAAGTTATATCACCTTAATTTCATAGAGTCATGTATATATTCTCCTGACATATTTACTAGCATGCCACACCATAGAAGAGGAGGGGGGAGCAGAAAGACATTTCATTATTATTCCCCAATTAAAATTAATGAGTTAAGACTAGAGAAAGCTACTTGCATCCTAGGAGAGATATGAAGATGAACAGGATTCCTATAATCCTGGATTATTTTTGTAGGTAACAACATGGAGTTAAACCAGCAGGTTTAATCCCTTTAAAATTCTGAAGTTTCAGTGTGGGAGATTTCAACAGATCGTTTATTTCAACACAATTGTCTGAATCATTCTAAATTACTAGCAATCCTAATTACGGATTTAAAACAACTAAGAAAAAAACTTTTTTGGGGTTGAGTTATAGTCTTTTGGGGGAATATATAATATTTTGCTATCATATGCTAACCATGGGTAAGACAAAAGATAGTGTTTAAAAAAAAGGTCATGAAATATTTTATATAGCATTTAGTCTTAACACTGTCATCTATCCTGGGCTATATAATAGCATGGTTCCCTTTTAATATGAACTTATATTAGAATAAACCTGTAATATTGATATATGAAATATATTACTTGCTTCAGAAGCTGCTTTTGACTTCTCCCCATTATGTGGATCGAGAGTGAATAAACAGGCAGATGCTCTCCTTACATCCCACAATTTCACTCTACTGTCAGCACTAAAAGAAAAACAAAACTCTCAGGTGATTTATGAGCAACACAAATGAACTTTCAACAGTTTCATAATGATTATTTTATTTTCAATTATTTTTTTCTTAACTTGGATATATTTATGGTTTTATAAATGCAGAAAATGACCTCCGACAGTTTCTTTTGGAACCACATTCTAATTATCCCCACCCCACCCCAAGATATTCTGAAAACAAACTCTAAAACTTTCCCCTCAAAACCACTGCTGACTCCAGTAATCTTCAACCCTCATCTGTGATCACATGACTATATTTCAATAATTTGGCAACTGGCTTGTATTATGACCAATCCCACAGGCACATGACTGCAGCTGTGATTATTTTTTTGCTAGTTTCCACTGCTTTTTGTTGGGAAAATCGATTTCTTAATGTACACCGATTCAGTCTTATAATCACGATTTACTTAACGACCGCTATAAAAATGGTTGAAGGATTGGGTCTGGTTATGTGAGTGCCTCTGTTTATGACCCCAATGATGTACAACTGAAATTCCAATCCCAACGATGATCATAAGTCAAGGATTTTGTGTATAAGAACCACGGTGGCACAGTGGTTAGACTGCAGTATTGCAGGCTACTTCTGCTGACTGCCACTGACTGCAATTTGGCAGTTCGAATCTCACCAGGTTCAAGGTTGATTCAGCCTTCCAAGGTGGGTAAAATGAGGACCTTGACTGTTGGGGGAAATATGCTGACTCTGTAAACTGCTTAGAGAGGGCTGTAAAGCGGTATGTAAGTCTAAGTGCTATTGCTATTTTAAACTCTTATGAAAGTCAACAAAAATCAGTTATTCTGAAAGGTAAGACTTGTCTTTTTTAATTTTAAAAAATAATTTTATTGATTGAATTATTAAAACATTGGACACGGTGGATCATCCTGGCATTCATTTTTGCCATACATACTATAGTATAGTATATGATACATATCTTATATACATTTATACAGTTAACTTATATCCAATGGGTAAGACTTGTCTTCTTAATGGCTTTTAAAAATCTTAGTATCTACCAAAACTATCAAGTTAGGTGTGAGGAAAGTCTTAGTTTACTTCAGGACTTTTAACATATTCCTAAGTGTGCTTTTTAAAAACAGTAATTTTATTAAAATTGTAACTACAATGATAAATAATATAAAATATAAAAAGTAAAAGTAGAAGATGAAGATGAAGAAAAATAGAAAAGTATTGAAAAGAAAAATAATCAAGAAAAGGAAAAGAAATATATAAAGAAATGACTTTCCCTTCATCACAAGTATAGAGTTTTAGTAACTTATCATGTCTAAAAATAGAAATATTTGCTTCCCATATTTCATCTCTCATCTATAAATGAATCCTTAAACCTTGTTGTTCAGCCCTAGGCAGCAAAAGTCCATTAAGGGTTACCAGAGATAACATATCTACTTTAACCTTGATCAGATAAACCAACTTTATGTTCTTTCATCTTAAAGTTTAGTCCCTTCAAATGTCCTAAAATAAATTTCTTTTCATTTTTTTTCTTTGTCCCTTTTTACAAAATTCTTGAAAGCTTTAACCAGCCTCTTCTGTGAATCCAATATAGGAAGCGTATGCAGGTAACTCACTTGGGTTTGTTATTTATTTTAATGTTATTTTAATTATGAAGGCCTAAGTCAGTTTCTTTTGTTATGTCCAACGAACCATTTTTCCCATATCATTCTTAAAGCTTTTCATTAATTCCACTTTCAAATCTGTCTCAATTTTGTCTTGTTCCACTTCAATAACATCTTTGAAACAAAGTATATCTATAGAGGCTCTTAAAATTAACTCCTGGGCCCATTATTCAAAAATATCTTTTAGTATGTCCAAAGTTGATATTTTGCTACATTCTATATTAAGAAGTTAAATTTAAATGTTATTCACCTTTAACTGTGATCTTTAGATCCTTTTAATTCCCTCTAGTGCCCAACCTTCAAAGTCCCCTCCCTTCTGTATTTTTTAAAGAACTCAAAAGTATTTTCCCATAGGATCCTCATAATTCTAAAACCCTTTGTTTGTAACTATTTCTTTTGCTAAGTTTTGAAGGAAAGTCACTGGTGCCCTAAACCTTGAAGATGCAAAGATTCCTAATAGTTGAAAAGCAGCTGACAAGCAATTTCCTAAAGTGATTAGAAAAGAAAGTATGTGGGGACTTCCTGTGAATGCCATGTGTAGTTGATATCCTTGTAGTAGCAGGACCACATTTGCAAGAATTGTGGTGGATGCAGGAGCCAGGCTTTTAAAATCTCTCTGGAGGAAGAATAGAGTAGAGTAGAGTAGAGTAGAGTAGAGTATAGAGTAGAGTAGAGTAGAACAGAATAACCTTTATTGTCATTGCATTCCACAAATATAATGCCCCAAACCACATCACAATCACACTACAGAGTATTTAAAAATTAAATTTCAGCATGCCAAGACTTATATTCATGATTTAAAAGTATTTCTCTGCTTTTTTTTTTTTATAACAACCTAGGAAATGATGCCAACCTGGGCATTTAAGGCCAGAGGTAGAGGACATGGTGGCATGAAGTGATAATTACATAAATGCCATGACTTATATACTTGACACAGGTGATTTAAGGTAGCATGCAATCAGGACAGTTGCATGATTATGTCATTGTGTAATTTGTGCAAGACGTCATTGCACTTTGTATGGATGCAATGTCAAAGAAATTTAGAATAGGTTTTTAAAATACTGACTGACTTTAATAAACACTGCTTTAGTTTATTGGATTTTTTTTACCTTCCAGTTGCTAAAATAAATTCATAACGTGGTGACCAAGATACTGCTAGAATTTCTTGAGTGTGACCTAAAAATACAAAAGCATAATAATATTTTTGGTTTATTAAGACAGGTTTACATTGTTTTCTATTATTCTCCTATTACATAAATTATAGTGCAAAATTTTGTAGACTTTAATACTATTGTATATTAAAAAAGAATAGTAACCTAAATTTGCAGTTTTGTAACAAAATGAAAACTTTGTAAATTGAAAGGCTCATGCAAAAATAGAAATAACTTCAATTTTAAATTAACATGTATAAACTAACTACATAAACACTAATTCTGATAGAGATCCAGCATCAAGTATCACTCATCAGTTTATAAGAATAACTAGACCACAGAATATGCACTGTAAAACATCATGTTACGTTATATATCAACATAAATTCAGATGTAATTCTGGTAATGGAGGAAAAGTAGAATTTGTGATAACATGTATAGGTACAGCAGAATGAAAAGGTATAGTTATAAGAAATTAAAAGGAACTATGCCATTACAGGCTGAAGATGCAACAATTTCCAATGTTAACAGGATTTTATAAAATTGGCATCAGTAGTGGGATTCAATTTTTTTTACTACCGGTTCTGTGGGAGGGGCTTGGCGGGCATAACAGGGGAAGGATACTGTAAAATCTCCAGTCAGGGGTGATATTTGCTGGTTCTCCGAACTACACAAAATTTCCGCTACCAGTTCTCCAGAACTGGTCAGAACCTGCTGAATACCCCCTCTGATTGGCATCCAAAATGGCATTTCTTACTTATAACCTGAAACAATACAGGTAAATTATATAGCTCAAGATTCTAAATCTACTCCATAATTTATTACATCTGAATTCTTGCCAGCTATCAAGCTGTCACTTTTCACACCACAGATTCTAAGCTGATACCAGAAGGTAGATACCAGATAAGATACCTGAGATAATACAGAAAGGTCACTAAATAATAACTGTAAACTCCTTGGCGATGGTGAATGGGAACAGGGCAGGACAAAGGGCAGAAATAAAGAAAAAGAGTCCCACTAGAGAAATCGCTCCCTGCTCATTACTTGTTTTCTGGAATAAAAATATTGTTTCATGGCTTACCTGAATTAGTTTACAATTAAAAATATAATTTTAATTTTAATTGACCAGGTGTAATCTAAAGCACTTGGACAAATATTACTAAGACAGTTTCTCAACTTGCTTAGAAAGCTACAAGTTTATGTCTCAATGATATAAAGCTCAAAGAGTCCAGCTTAAGTAGACATCAGCATTTTTTATAATTATCAATAATATATCTTCAGGCTAACAAGATCAGAAAAATGTTAAGGAAGAAAGACCTTCTCACTGTGTTTCTTTGACAACTGGCACTAAACACATCTGTCCTATTACTTACAAAGAAAATATTGTTCAGTGCAGTTCTTTACACAGTGTGGTATACTCAAAGTAGTTATTGTCTAATATTTATGTTTCAGAGTAAGAAATACCCTGCAGAATGTGAGAACAAGATCCAGACTTGAAGTCACAAAGCTGTACTTTGGAGCTTTTGGTACCAACTGTAACAGAAAAAGACAAAAACACATTACAGAAAACAAACATAAGCAGTGCATGTTGATATAAAAAGATATACAAAATGCTGCTATAAAAATATACAAATAGATAGCAGTTTTAGTATCTTTAAACTTCACATAGGTTCATTAGAGAATTACTTTTCGGATAATTACATTTTACATTAGCACACAGCATCTTTTTCATAAACAAGAACAAGAAAGATATTATACCTTTTATAAAAAGGGAGTATGTATATTATAATAAAGGAAAAATTTATGCAGTATGTGTAGAGCAAAACTGTATATACATCATCCTTTGCAGCTTCAATTGGATAGTCCTTAATGCTGATATAATACTTTCCTTATTCATGAGATGCTCTCGTTTTCTAACAACTCAAAATTTAGCCACAATGCCTGGTAAACCATGTTAATTAGTGGCGTAAGTTCATTGAAACATAATTTAAATCACCCTATTTTGACTAAGTAAGTAATGTGAACTATGAATACTCTTAAAAATATGGTGATGGAGGTGAGAGAAATGATAGAAGAGTCAGATATGTGGCCCCTTCATGCAACAAATATTTTTATTTAAAAAAAATTTATTTTAAAATTATTATTTGCTATGCCTAAGTATCAGACTGGCCAAGAAATATTTTAACAGTACAATTTGTGCATGTTTATTAAAAAAAGCCCCAATGTGTTCACAAAAGCATGATAAATATCTAGAACATACATTACACAATAAGGTTATGTACTATTCAAATATTCTTTCTCAAGTTTGTAGAGGTCAATAATTATAAACAGAAACCAACAACAGCCCTACTGAAATTATGCCGCACATTTGTAACTCTAAATTATGCTATGTTACAATCTTGAATATAGAAACGAATTATTTTAAAAAATGAAAGACAGTTAAAATATGATTGTTATATTCAAAATATATTTAAAATTAATGCAAACCTGCAATTAAGCAATGTCTTGTAGCAACAGGAGACATATGATGGCTATATACTGTCCCATCAAAATAAAATTCATCAGCAGGCTGTTAATTAAAAAACAATACATTATTAAATACTTGGACCAATTCAAATCTTAACCAGAAGCAATAGACAATAGTTATTATTTATAACACATTAGCAAATGTAAAATAGTGCTATGTTTTAATTCTGCATATACCATCAATATAATACAAAGATACATGTACTTATAATTACAAAATAAACAGCTTCTACTTCAACATTTTTAATCCTGTTTTCAGGATTACAAAGAAAAAAACCTCCATACCATTCTACATTTATATTATGTTTAGCCCCCACTTTCATCTTACAGTTACTTTTTCTATTTTTCTATATTTTATATTTTCATAAATTTTTACATTTTATAATTTTTATGTTTATATTTTTCATAATTGTCAGTTATAAAATGATTAAATTTCAGTATTATTAATATTTGCAAAATTGAATTTTAAATTTTAAACACCTGTTATTTTACGTAAGACATTAAATAATATTCATACAAACTTGTGCATTAAATAACATTGTAGTAAAATAATTTATTACTTTCTATTACCATTTTAATGCAATCTTTGATCATGGTGCCCTTTAACCATAGATACATTTATCTGGCTTTAAAGTTGATAGGTTCAATTGAAAATCCAAGTGATTTCTTGCTTTTGTGAGGAAACAATGGCTGCATGAAATGGATTCAACTTGATGCAACACTGAAAATGCAGTAACATTTTCTCAACAATTTTAAAGAGGTAGAAGATATCCCCATAGTCTCTGAAGTTAAAGATATCTACCTTAAGATCTGCTTTGAATTGTCATTGCAACATAATTCTAAAATTTCCCTTTAATTTATAATTTCTACATTATATACATTTACTTTGAATAGATTCATCATGTATCCCATTTCTCTCTTTCTCCCCCCCTCCCTTTTCCCCACAATAGCTACCCCTTCTCAAAGTAGTTCCATCCTTTTTTGTTTCCTCCTTTTTTGCAAAGAGGAAGATGAATGTGTATAGTTTGTACATGTTGAGGAGACCGATTTACATGGTTAATGTGGCCATTTTATAAATTACTAATTATTAATTAAATTAATTAGGAGTTATTAATTCAAGTAATGTAATCTATACAGGCATGATATTCCAATCTGAAAAAAAAATCGGGGCCGGCCAAAAGAGACCCCCCCCACCGCGCGCCAAGAAATTGCTGCCCAGCTCCCTTTTCCTGCTGCTCAGCGGCCTCCGCTCGCACCGCCCGCCCGCCCAGGCTCCGCTCGCACCGCCCGCCCGGGCTCCGCTCAGGTATCCGGCTGGGGCTGTCAGGAGTTGCTACCGCCGGCGCGGCTCTGCGCGGCTCCAGTCCCGCGTTGCCTCGGGAAGGGAAAGGCAAAACCAGGAGCCGCTGCTGCCGTTGCAAAGCGCCGCCGTGGCTCTTCCTTTTTGCCTTTCCCTTCCTGAGGCAACGCGGGACTGGAGCCACGCAGAGCCGCGCCAGCGGTAGCAACTCCTGACTCGGGGCCTCCGAGGGGAGGGGAAGGAGGAGAAGAAGGGCGGGGGGAAAGGGGGGGGCGATTCCCCAAAAAATCGGAATTCCGATTTTAATCGGAAGAATATCATGTCTGTCTATATTTTCAGCCATCTTGTGCCCTTTTCTGGAATGTGACTTCTTGCAGATACATACTATGTGTGTAAATATATATCATGCACAGATATATAGGCATGCCCAAATTTATTGTATAATATATGACTTCTAGACGGGTAAGGTATCTGGGGTCTTCCAGATATAATCTGTCTTTGAAATAGCATGAACCATTCCAAGAATGCATGGATTAACCAACTCTAGGAGAAAAACAAAAAATTTCAAGAACCCACTCTATTTGCATATCCCCAGATTATACTGGCAACATCAAACAATTCAATGAATCTTGTAAAACATAAATTCTAAAAATATATACCCGTGTCTCTAAAATGTGCAGTTTCTCTTTGGTTTGTAAGTTCCAACTACTATTACCTACTTGGCAAGATTATGTCAAACTACAAATAATGAAAATGTTTAAATGACATACTAAACATGCTGTGCCAAACCAGGCAGTTATTGATGTACAAATAAGACTCAGTAATTCCTCTGTAAAACTGTTTCTGAGTTGACGCAAGAAGAACACTCTTGGTTACACCTGTTTAATGTTTCTAATGTTAGGTGTCCATTTCAAGTCCTTGGAGAGAATGGAACTTAGAAACTTCAAGGTCTCTACTATTGATACTGTGTTGCCTAATATTGTAAGAGGTGGTAGAATAGGAGAGCTTCTTCTAAAATCTGTTATCATCTCTAGAGTTTTAAGAGTGTTCAGCTCCAGACTGTTCTGGCTGCACCACAGAGCCAGTAGATCTACCTCTTGTCTATATGCAACTCATCATCATCATCTTGAATGAGACGAATGACTGTTGTATCACTTACAAACTTCAGCACTTTAACAAAGGGATCCTTCGAGATGAAGTCATTGGTATATAGAGAGAAAAGTAATGGAGGGAGAACACAGCCCTGGGGGGCTCCTGTGCTAATTGAATGGGTGTTCTATGTGATTTTCTCTAGTTTCACTTGCTGCTTCAAATTTGTTAGAAAGCTTATAATCCATCTATAAGTATGGTTAGGACCATCAGGCACAACTAGCTGAGTCAGTTTGTAGAAGAGAATTTCAGGAATAATGATGTTGAACACTGTGCTGAAGTAGAAAAAGGACCTTTACGTAGTTCTATCATCTGCACCTCTATAACTGTCTGGTTTGGTTCTGCAACCCAACAGGACAGACACAGATTTCAGAGGATAATTAGGACTGCAGAAAAAACAATTACTACCAACCTGCCTTCCATCAAGGACCTGTATACTGCACGAGTCAAAACGAGGGCTGTGAAAATATTTACAGACCCCTCACATCCGGACATGAACTGTTTCAACTCCTTCCCTCAAAACGACACTATAGAGCAGTGGTTTCCAAACTTTTTCAGTCCACCACCCCCTTGGTGCTACAAACTCATCCTCAGTGCCTCCCAGCCAGGGGTGGGATAAAAATTTCTTAACTGGTTCTGTGGGTGTGGCCTAATTTGTGGGTGTAGCTTGCTGGTCATGTGACTGGCAAACCAAATACAAGTGGTCCTCGCTTAATGGCCAGTTGCTTAGCAAGTGTTCTAATTTATGACTAACCTTCCCAGACCTGTTTTTGGAGTTTTGACAGCCATGCATGTGTGCGCACACACACTCCCTTCTAACCCTACTGGAGCATTCACTTTCTCCTTCTTCTATCTCCCCCTCTTTCTTTGTCTATTCCTTTTCTTCCTTTCTCTCTCCCTTTTTCTTTCCTTTTTTTTTCTTGTCTCTTCCTTCTCTTTCTCTCTCCCTCCATATCCCATTCACTTTCTCCTCCCTCCCTCCCTCTTTCTTTCTCTCTGGACTGCAGCCACACCTAAAAAAACATGTGGTGGCTGGAGGCTTTTTGCAATGAAAATTACCGACCACTGGCTTTGCTTGTTCTACTTCTCCAATGCGCCGCTGCAGCCGCATTCCAGGTGCTGGCCCCACAGGTCCACTCCACTGAACCCGCTGCACCAGAGGGACTTGCCCAAGCAAGTCTGAGCGGAGTGCTGCAGTAGTCAATGGGGTGAACCTGCATGGCCGGCGCCTAGAACGCGGTGGCGGTGGTGCATTGGAGAAGAAGAGCAAAGTTGAAGGGCAGTAATGTCCTCTGCAAAAAGCCTCCAGATGCCGCTTGATTTTTTTGGTGCGGCTGGAAAAAAAGACGCAGCGTCTGGATGCTTGTTGGAGCAAAAACTATCGACCTTCAGCTTTGCTTCTCCGCCTCTCCAATGCGCCGCTGTGGCCGTCAGCGATTGTCACGCATGCACAATAAGGACTGACTGGGCAGGGAATGGAGGAGTGGGCAGAGAGGAGCAGGGCCAGCCAGGGGCCCGTTTTACCGGTTTTCCAAATTACTGGGAACGGTAATGAACCAGTAGAATCCCACCCCTGAATTGCGCCCTGCGAGGGGCCCACCTCCAGCACTCCTCTGCCACCCCTCTCACCTCTTGTCGCCCCCCTAAGCCATCCCACCACCGCCCACTTTGGGAACCACTGCTATAGAGCACTGCACATCAGAACAACTAAACACAAGAACAGTTTTTACCCAAACGCCGTCACTCTACTAAAAAAATAATTTCCTCAACACTGTCCAACTATTTACAAAGTCTGCACTACTATTACTATTAATCTTCTCAACACTCCTTATTGCCCATCCCCTCCCACTTGTGACTGTATGACTGTAACTTTGTCGCTTGTATCCATACGATCTATATTGACTGTTTCCTAGTATCATTTTATTGTACCCTATGACTATTATTAAGTGTTGTACCTTATGATTCTTGACTCTTGACGAATGTATCTTTTATGTATACCAAGAGCATTTGCACCAAGACAGATTCCTTGTGTGTCCAATCACACTTGGCCAATAAAGAATTCTATTCTTTGGTGATTCAAAATGTTGTAAGATGTAATGCAGTGTCATACTGATAGCATCATCTGCTGAGCTATTTGCATGATAGGCAAATTGCAGCAGATATGTGATGGCTTTCAGATGGGCCAACACTAACCTTTCGAAGGTTTTCATAACTATGGATGTCAGATCCCTGGTCTGTAGTCATTCAACTTTTTGATGGTGGGTTTCTTGGGCACCAGAATGATAGTAGGGCGTTAGGGATAACCAATGAGACTGATTTGATGCCAAACATGTTATTGAGAATATTATTTTTTAAAAGTATTTATTTTAAAAATAGCAGGAATATTTTAGCTGACTACTACAAAGTTGACCGGGATATCACCCCAGATATCTGTTCCACAGCAACCTTGACTCTCCTTGGTTTGCAGAATCATATATAATAGAAGAGTAAATTATTCAGTTTCACCAAATGTGGCATGTTGCATGGACATTTTCTCTAAGCTCATTCAACACAATGAGCCAAAATGTAGTTTGTGGTTTTAACTTACCATGCTTGTTATCTTAGCTATTATAGTTTGTAAACTACAATTTAATGTGAGGAACCCTGCTTTAATAAACAATGGTTATATAATCTATGATTTACCGCAATGTTATTGTTAAGCATGTGTCTGACATTTACAAGTAATATAACTTATTAATTTAAAAGCTACTTTTCCATGATCAACTATTTAACTTTCCATATCAAGTACAGAGTCTTTGCTGACCTGTGATCCTACATCAACTCTTGAGACTAATCATACATTAGCCTTGATTGTATTGTGTGTTCATTTAAGTTGCTTTACAAAAATCAGCCAATCCCTTATAAAAACAAGGATGTGTTAAAATACTACTGATTCTCCTTCATATAAATTATTAAAGAAAACTTACCTGTAAAGTATTTGTATCCCATATTTTCAGTGTTTTATCAAATGAACTTGAAGTAAACATGCCAGTATCATGAGGATACCATTGAACAGTCTCTACGCTGTATTTATGAACACCAGGGTGGTTCCTATAACACAGTTATAGAAAAGTAAAATTGACAAGGATGATTTTCTGTAATAATGCTCAGCAAATCTGAATATGTTAATTCTTTTAAAACCTAAGTAGCAAACCCCTTGCAGGAAGAGCTAACATCAGTTCAAACTGGAAAGAAAGAATAAAACAGCTCAAATACTATACTAACTGTAATTCTACCTTGGTTTACTTTAATGTAATAGAGCAGAACCTAAGCTAGCTCTGCCACCTACTGGGTAAATCACATAATTAAAAAAAGGTACAAAAATACAAAAGCCTTCCAAAGAAGATCTTCAAGAAGGCCGTCTCTCTTAACCAGCAGTTTTCAATCAGCTTCACCTCACAGCACACATTAAAAAGATAGGACTTCCAGGACATGAAACTGGAAATGCTATGGCATCAAAAAAAGAATGGAGGCAGTCCTGCTGGTGATGTCATAGAGGTAGGTTTCTAGCTGAGGTGGCATATGTGCAAACCTGTTGTGGCACACCAATGTGTTGCAGCACAATAGTTGATAACCAAACTTTGCTCTAAATCAAAGTGTACAAAATTAGGAGCCATTAGGGCAAACTTGGATGCAATGGATCAATGCAGATGAGAGCAAAGTTTATTGCTCTGTACTAGCTCTGAAGCAAAGAAATGTTCTAAATATATTAAAAGAAACATAAATATTGTTTTCTTTACTGGCTCTCTATGGATTACAAAAATAAAACATATGTTAAATCCTGCAAAAAAAACCCGTACATGATAAAAGCCTGGAGACAATGTTTGGTAAGATTCTAGGATCACTACCCTGTTACTCTCAGAATCTAGTGACTTTCACATGGTTTGACATGATGATGATGATGTGCCATCTAGTTGGTGTTAACTTTTAATAATCACATAGCTAAGATGTTTTTCATGACAACTACATTAGTATTCCTGCCTCCCATATTCTATGTGAGTGAATTGGCTGGAGGGAGATTGGCTGATTTAAAGTTGCAAGCCAAAGCATCAAGGTTAGAGAAGACTGCCACAAGTATAATTTATTGCTCCAAGAGAAACAGAAGCTACTGTGGGCAGATAAAACAAAGTATAATAAAACAAAGTATAATAAACTTTCTCTCCTGCTTTTTAAATTTATTTGCCTGTGAGAATTTATTTTTCTTAAGTTTCCCCCCCAGTTTATTGTATACTAGTTTTGTATCTCTACCTCAAAATGACAGGAAAACTATACCACCAATTTTGGCAGTTCTTTCCAGAGATTGCAGAAAATGATTCAAGGATGATTACTTGACTTTCCATGACATCAGACTGGCAATCCTTTCCATCAGAACATGATTGCTTTATGCCAACCTTCACCTGAACTCAGATGAGTCTGCACAAGTTACCAAAATGCCTTTGTTTTTATACTCTTTAGGACAAACTGTATATCTGAATAATCAAAAACTGTAAAAGGTAGTCCTTGACTTAAAATAGGGCATTTATTAACCATTCAAAGTTACAACGGCACTGAAAAAAGTGAGTTATGATCATCTTTCACGCTTGTAACCGTTGCAGCACCCCCATGGTCACGTGATGAATATTCAGATGCTTGGCCACTGACTCATATTTATGACGGTTGCAGTGTCCTGGATCATGTGATCACCTTTTGAGACTGTCTGACAAGCAAAGTCAATGGAGAAGCCAGATTCACTTAACAACCATATTACTAATTTAATTGCAGTGATTCACTTAACAACTGTGACAAGAGAGGTTGTAAAATGGGGGCAAAACTCACTTAACAAATGTTTTACTTAGGAACATAAATTTTGGGCTGAATTATGATCACAACTTGAGGACTACATGTAATGGTGACGTGGGAAATAGTTGTTTCAAGTTTCCTATTACAATAATCACACCCTTACATTTTAATTTTTTATATATGCATTGCATTCCTTGCTTTGTCTATGTGCCTCCATTTTATATAACTAATTTCCTTTGGAACTTTGAACTGGATTTAAACCAATCTTGCAACTTAATGGCAACTACAAAGAATTTCAGTTTCCCCCCCTAAATGTTTAAGTAGGAGTTAAAAAATGAAATAAAAAACTGTAAATTTGGTCTGTCAAACAATCCGTACCTTGGTACAAGATCATACTATTAGAAACACATGCTGACTATGCTATAGCACAAACTGTGCTAACAATAGTTTCTTAAATAATGTTTCATTTATTTTGTTGACAAAATATGAGTTAGCAGTGAACTATAAACATGTAATGTAGGTAACATATTCATAAAAGGTTTTTACGTATACACACCTTCCCACAGAACAAATCACTTTACAGGTATAGCATGGTGTTCTGTTGAAGTTCTCAAGGTCATACAATACAATAGTACCGTCAGAACCACCTGATAACATACTGTAAGAAAACAAGTTATGAATCAATTCAGATGTTGTAAGCTTTACTCCTCCCCACCAAACATATAATGTTATCTTTTAAAAACTGTTGAAAATTACTTTTTTACTATATTCTAAATACTAGAATACTAGAACATTTTAATTAATATAAAATTAATATATATTATTTTTGATATATAATAATATATATTCATTTCAACTTGATTTCTTGTTTTAGAATACCATTTTATGTGCTATGTCAACTCCCCTCCAAATAAAAAATATTTAGACTGAAATATCTGAATAATGATTTTATAATAAAGTGTTCTTGATATAGTTTAAAAGTTGTTTTAAAACAAAACAATTTTTTAAGAAATTTTTATTCAGATATCTGAAAATATTTTAAGGCACAACACAATTTTTCACACTTGTCATGTTCACATGACATGCTAAAACAGTGAATCGGGTAAAGAAATTATGGGTGTACTACATCCCTGCCCAGAACTGCTCCGGGGCCAATCCTATGCAGACCTTTATCTTCGTTTCAGGTTTACCTAAGCCTTGATGTTCTGTCCAAATATGGAGTAGCAATTATTTCCATTAAATTGACTGTCTCTCTGGTTTGGAAATGGCTCGGTTAATGCTTATTTTGTTATCTGCCCAGATTCCATTTTCACTAGCCAGACAAAAAACTAACCGCAACTAATTTTGTATTGATCCTTCTAGGTGTTGGCACATACCCATACAGTAAGTAATAAATAAGCTACCAACACAAGAATGCTTAGAAAATGCACCCAGGGCTGTTTGAGGGGAACATATGGGATTAATCAAAAGGACCTCTGAACAAAAGTAGTAGCAATAACACTTAGACTTACATACCACTTCATAGTGTGTGTTGTGTGTGTGTGTGTACACACACACACACACACACACACACACCGAAACAAAATAAATATATAGGATATCATGGATTCATGAAATTTGAGAAAATGCTTCTAATGAAAAAAAAAGTTAGCATGAATTTAAAAATGCAAATATTTTCAAATTTGTTCAGTAAAATACATTTCATTACAAAGCATAATAAATATACATACTATCGATTTTCAACAGGTTCAATATCCAAGGTATTAATTCCACTTCCATGAATTCTTTCAACATCTTTGTTCTTATTTAACTCCAAGCTTAATACCCTTTAAAAAAGGAAGTATTGTAAACAAAATTAAAATTATATAGTATTTGTTATTGAAATGCCATTAAATTCTTCAATCCACTACATTGACCAAGGTTCTATCTGTATTGATGGAGGAAATAGCATATTACACATACTAATATGTATCTGAAATTTATATGAATTAAACAGTTAAATATTTGTCATTTTAATACTTGTAAATCAAATGTGGAAATAACAGACAAAAAAGAATAAAGAAGATTATATTTTACAATTATGTCAATGTCATTTGAGGAATAAATGAATAAGTAACAATATGCCATTATATGTGGAATGGCTATCAACATGCAGAGTGTAATATGCAATACATTTATGGAATTACAGATTTTTAGTATAGGTAGAAATCCACACTTACACAAAAGAGGTCAACCCTACAATTTCAAAGGATGCTTGGACTGTCATTCCTATTACTATTTTTACAGAGTACATTATTTAGAAAATAGTTCTCAATAACTACAATATCAATTTCTTTCAAAGTAAATTGCAATCCTAGATGCATTTGCTAGTTTTGGTCATTCAATGATTGAGAATTACAAGAATATTGTATTTCTATTTGTGAGCTGCACCATTATATTCACCATGTAATTTTTTTCTGTAATCAATTAATTACATCAGTATTATTTCATCCTTTCTCAAACTTAGAGCAGTATTTTGAGACTTATTTACCAAATAACCTTAGAAGGAAAGTTGTGATCACACAAATGGTTCTCTCCCAAACATTTACAAATTGCATATTTAATGCATGGGGGAAATATAATCGTAACAGGTTTTTAACATTTCATTATAAGGCTGCATAAATTACATGAGCACACATTCATAGGTCACCTTATGTACCTTTTCCCATCCAAATGCCATTCTTGAATCTGCAGCTAGATTGATGGAACTAGGGGCATCAGTTCCTAATTGCAGAATGAAACAAAATCCCCCTGAAATAAAGCTGAAAATGAGCCTAGTTATAGGCTAAATATTTGTAGGTCTTTGACAGATGTACGCAATGAAATTTTACTTTAATGTATGCCAATCAGTGTACGTTCAAAGTGACAAAGTTATTTTAAGTTCTATGTACAACAAAGGATGCTTGAACATGGGCACATTCATACGGATTAAGCATTTTTGCATATTGTGCCCATACGGTTCTTCCACTTTCTAGGAATGGCACTAGAAAGGGAGTTTCGGCTCCCCCCTACACAGTGAATCTAGCTCATGATCAATCTTGCTTGCTCATTTGTTTACTTGCAAGGAGAGTTAGTCAATGTCCTTTCCTGAAATTCTCTCCCACATGACACCTATAGTTTAGTTTTCTTTGTCATTGCACCTCATCAAACACCATCTTCAGTGCACATCATGACCATGAAAATAAACACAAGCACACATTCTTCACCCTCCACACATTGAACTGAAAACCCCCGACACTGCACCAACACTGCACTATACAGTAGAATTCAAAAGAGCTACTGCCCTGGGATAGAAGCTGTTTTTCAGCCTATTTGTCCTTGTTTTTATTATTCTGTACCGTTTGCCAGATGGTAATAGTTCAAAACTATTACATTTATATTATAATATTAAATATTATATTATATTTCAGACTTATTAGTAAGATGGTATTATTGTTATCAGGGCCTACTAGCAAAGAGAGCTTTACAGCTCTCTGGGCTTACCGTGGGACTACAGTGGGACTAGACTCATAATATTCCGAATTTCTAGCTGATGCCTTAACCACTACAAGTGGCTATGGAGATTCTCACTCATCCAGGTCATCAAGCATCCAAGGTGCTTTTTCAACAGACAGTTGGACTTTCTTGTTTTTTCTTTGAAGCAGTTTCGCTTCTCATCCAAGAAGCTGCTTCAGCTTTGACTGCAAGAAAAATAAACCCTTCCATTCCCCTCCATTCAGTCAGAGCTGAAGCAGCTTTTCTTGGACGAGAAGCGAAACCGCTTCAAAGAAAAACCAGAAAGTCCAGTTGCCTCTTGAAAAAGCACCTTTGGGACGCTACTTTCAAGTAGCTCTCTTTGCTAGTAGGCCCTGATAACTGAAGATGGTGTTTGATGAGGTGCAATGACAATAAAGTAAACTAAACTAAAGGTGTCATGTGGGAGAGAATTGCAGGAAAGGACATTGACTAACCCTCCTTGCAAATACACAAATGAGCAAGCAAGATTGATCATGAGCTAGATTCACTGTGTAGAGGGGAGCCGAAACTCCCTTTCTAGTGCCATTCCTAGAAAGTGGAAGAACCATATGGGCACAATATGCAAAAATGCTCAATCCGTATGAATGTGCCCATGTTCAAGCATCCTTTGTTGTACATAGAACTTAAAATAACTTTGTCACTTTGAACGTACCCTGATTGGCATAAAGTAAAATTTCATTGCGGACATCTCTCAAAGACTCACCACCTACAAATATTTAGCCTATAACTACGCTCATTTTCAGCTTTATTTCAGGGGGGATTTTGTTTCATTCTGCAATGAGTCTAGTCCCACTGTAAGCCTAAAGCTAGCCGGGTAGCCCTGGACCAGTCCCTCTCTCAGCCTTAGGAAGGAGGTTGGCAAACCACTGCTGAAATCTTCCCAAGAAAACTGCAGGGCAGGTGCCCAGGGAGTCGCCAGGAATCAACATTGACTTGAAGGTCACGATCTCGTATCTATACCCAAGAGAGCCACCCCACGAACCCGGGTCTGAGGCGTTTGTTTTGACGTGGAGGCTGTGCAGGACCCTCCGTGATCACGTGTGTCCTGAGGAGACTAAACGCGATCCGGCTAACCGCTAGTAGGAACGCGGCTTTACCTCCTCGTAGCCTCCGCCCGTCGGAGCCTCAGCGGGTCATCTACACCTGCCTGACGAGCGGAAAGAAAACCCAACATAGCCGGAGAGGAAGAACCCGCAACAACGACGCCACCATGCCTCGAAATTATCTCGCGCCCATTGGCTCAAAGCGTCGCTCTCTTAGCCAATAAGAACCCTTGGCATTGAAACGTCATTGGTCAGGAAAGGACCGGCTCAGAAAGCGTCGAACGCGTCAGATTCAGGAAAAGATAGAGAAACTTATCAGAAAAGATGCAGAAAAGCGGCTTTTCCTTTGCAACTTGTAGTGTAAATTCGAAATACTTCCCAAAATGCGGTCTAGAAAATAATTTTTCCCAGGAATGTTATTAATAGAGAGTCATTCAGCCGTTAGTAAATTGGGGTTTTAACATGAAATAGCTTTTTTTAATAGAAATGCAGGATGTGTTTTCTTCAATTTTATTATCTCTAATTAACAGGACGGACGTTCTGGACCTGAGGGAGATGTGGGCGTGGCTTCCGACGGAAAGGGGCGGGGAGGAGTTATCATCGCAGCGCGTCTGGGGCGCCTAGCGTGCCGTTCCCGTTTGGGCAGAGGGAGTTGGGGAGCCGCTATTCTGGTTTGCGGCTTCGCAGCGCCCTTCGCCTGGCATGAGCGGCGTCTGGCGGTTTCTGCGCTTGCTAAAGCAGCGCTTTATCGGGCCAGGGAGCGAGTACGTGGGCATCGACCACTTTGGAAACAAGTATTATCGGATCCCGCAGCACAAAACTTGGGCAGGTGAGCGAGACCAGATGATCGCCCGCGGTCGGTCGTATTTACGCTCCACTTCGTCTCTGGTTTTATCCAAACCGGGGTTTCCTTAATCGTGGTTTACAAAAATTATCATTGGCTGGCACTCCAGAGCTGGCTAGGCAATAAACTATAGTTCGTGAATTACAATAGCTATAGCCGATATAAACTGGGCTAAAACTTTGAGAGGGATTCTCGGAGTCCTAGTGGACAACCATTTAAATATGAGGCAGCAGTGTGCTGCAGCTGCCACAAAAGCCAACACAGATCCCGGCTGCATTAACAGGGATATAATCAAGATCACGTGAAGTTAATACCACTTTATAAGGCCTTGGTAAGGCCACACTTGGAATACTGCGTCTGCCATAATACAAAAAAAGATGTTGAGACTCTAGAACATGGGTCTCCAACTTGGCAATTTTAAGACCTGTGGACTTCAACTCCCAGAATTCCTCAGCCAGCAAAGCTGACTGAGGAATTCTTGAAGTTGAAGTCCACAAGTCTTAAAGTTGCCAAGGTTGGAGACCCTTCTCTAGAAAGAATGCAGAGAAGAGCAACAAAGATGATTAGGGGACTGGAGGGTAAAACATATGAAGAATGGTTGTCTAGTCTGATGAATTATTATTATTACCTTTATTGTCAGAGTACAACATGTGTACAATGAGATTGGCTGAGCCTCCCTTCGTGCATCCCCCCAACACAACTCACAGTGAGGACAAAAGTCCCTAACCTAGTCCCAATCTTACTACACAATGTGACCTTGTTGCACAACGCACTGGCCCCGCAAGTCTGTCATACTATGTTGGCATGAAGTTATTTTCTGTTCAGAAGTCTGACAGCCCATGGGTAGAAACTGTTCTTCAGCCTGTTGGTGTGGCTGGCAATGCTTCTATATCTCCTACCTGATGGTAGGAGAGTCAAGAAGTGCTGACCGGGATGTGAGTTGTCTATGAGAATTTTCCTCACTCTTCTAAGGCAGCGAGCCCTGGCGATGTCATCTAGTGGTATCAGGGAACAACCCATGATGTTTTGTGCTGTGCTTACCACCCTCTGTAATGAAAGGGAGGACTAGTGCAGGGGCCTTCAAACTTGACAGCTTTAAGACTTGTGGACTTCAACTCCCAGAATTCCTCCTCCAGTCATGTTAGCTCAGGAATTCTGGGAGTTGAAGTCCACAAGTCTTAAACTTGCCAAGTTTGAAGACCCTTGGACTAGGGGGTGACATGATAGCAGTGTTCCGATATCTTAGGTGTTCCCAAAAAACAAGTGGGAGTCAAGCTATTTTCCAAAGCACCTGAGGACAGGACAAAAAGAGTTACACAAATGAAAGTACAGATATGAAACAGGACATAGGTAACAATTTGCATTTACTGTTTTTTTCTCTACCTGTTAAGAGGCACATAAACATTGGTGCACAATTTATTGGAATGACAAATTATTGGAATAAGAGATGTTCATAGAGATGGATTAAAGGGAATATTGTATATAAACATGTTAGCCAATTTAAGGTATATAATTTTACAAAGTTATGATATTAGTCAATTCATTTGTTGATTTACTGTTCATTTGTTGATTATTGATTAACCACTTTTTTTTCTCCTTCCTACCATTCCCCAATTATATAAGTTTATGGTGCTTGCCATGATTTTACTATATTGCTTTAATACTCCAAAATTGTATCTCTCATGGTAAAAAGGAAGTTAAGAATTCCAGAACTGTATATATATTGTAATCTGTGAATTGTACTACCAAATTACTGCACAATCTGATATACTGTATACAATTTATAAATGTTAGATAAATTCATTTTTTGTAGTATAGTGCAGTGGTCCCCAACCTTTTTTGTGCCGCGGCCCGGTACCAGCATAACAAAATGATCCGCGGCCCGGTACTGGCATCAGCACGCATGGCAAGGCGAGTCGAGCGACCGGCCAGCCAGCCATCCCCCGCTTCTCCCCGCCACCTTCAACTCCTCCTTTGTACCTTTGTCCATGGGCTTCACTTTGGGACAGCTTTGGGACGGTCGCTCGGCTCGCCTTGCCTTGGGTGTGAAAGAATCCTTGCGCCTTAGTTTTGTTCGAAGCCCCCCCCCCCCCTTCGATGAAACTAAGGCGCGAGGATTCCTTCAGGACCCAAACGCCGCTTTCCAACCAGAAAAGCTCACCTGGAAGCACTTTCTCGTCAAACAAGATGACGGCAGCCAGCAAACTGGCGGCCCGGTAGGAAATGTTCCACGGACCGGTACCGGTCCGCGGCCTGGTGGTTGGGGACCCCTGGTATAGTGGGTTTTTTCCACACTAAGCTTGTCTCCTGGTAACTGGTGATGATGTTTCAATTTGTTCTTTAAATTTTTGTATACTGTTTGTGTCCAGAAGGAGGCAGTGTGGCTTTAGAAAGATTTATACCAGCAGCATATTTATACCCTGCATTGTGCAAAGGACACAGACTAGTTATTTCACAGGTTATGCTGGTAAACTTATGTGGAGAATAGATTGGGCAAAAAAGTTGATATACTATATTATTGGTTCACACTTTTTTTCTTTTTAAAGTAATTCTTATATTGTTTAAACATCACATTAAATCATAGCTGCTACAGTTCCATTTTTTGTTTACATTTTTTAATTATATGAAAAAAATGGTAGAAAGAGAAAGTCTGATATATATGATTAAACAATCCCATGTTATTTATGACAAATAATATCTTTATTTCTAGTCAAATTTATTTGCCACCCATCTTGTGGTTCAGGAAACTCTTGAGCTTGTAAAATTAGAATGGTTGAGCTGAAGTAGATGTAATCCAATAATTAAACATAATAAAAGAAACCATGCATAGAGTATGATCTCAGTGACAGATCATACTCTTTCGATAGTCTGCTGGGGAAAAGTTATTGAATGTATTCCAGTAAATTACAATTTTCTGTAACTCTTATCTCACTACAGATTTTCTTCCTGTAATTTATCCCTGTTTTTCATATATGTGAAAGTAAGGAATGTTGAATAAACCACATTAGGGAGAATGTAGATTAAGGAATCGGGAATGCTAAGCCAAATAAATTAAAGGCCTGAGATGGTTGGGGAGTGGGGCAAGAGAAGGAACATAGGTAGATCTAATTTATACCAGTACTGTTCACTATATTTATCATTTTCTCCTTAGAAACAATATTGGCTTCTACCATATCAGTACACCGATTCATACATTACCTTTTCTTTTTAGCCCTAACTTAACCTCTCTTAATATATAACTGTTATACAGATCATTCACTTTTGTATTCAATCCATATTAATTAATCAAACATTTATTCTTCTTTTACTGTACACATTCTAAACGCACTTGGAGCCACTTAGGTGAGATGGTCTAAAAGTATGAAGGATCAATAAACTCTATTTCATAGCATCCTGATATAATCAACTCTCGTGCATATGTCAAAATGAACAGAAACAAATTCTCATAGCATAATTATTTCCACTTTGTTTGATAAACTGTCTCTTCAGCAGACCATGTACGTTGACTACCAGAATTTTTTTTAACATTTTTTCATCTTTAGTAAGCATTGGTCTAATAAATGGATGTATAGAGCCTCTCAACTCAATGTGACTTTTGGTGGTGTACAAGAGGAGAATACAAAAAAAAAATACCATACAATATTAAAATACATATAACATATACAATGGTAACCAAGCAGGATAATTAGAATGAAATGGGGACATACAGGCCTGCAGAAAAAGATTTTAACAAAAAACTGTTAACTGTTAGTTTTTCTAAAGGCATACAGAGTTTCAGCCCATCATATCTGAGGGCCAGGGACAAAGTTTGTTCCTTCATAGGTACCAAAGCAAGAAGTCAAAGGTTAAGGCACTCAAATTTGTTTACTTGCTCTGTTTTTTCTTCCATTGTATTATATGCAATTTCTCACTGTATTTCTTCCTGTCAAACTCAATTACTTTGGTCTACATTACTTGGAATTTCATTTCTTTAGTTCTTATGGCACAGTAACTTTACTCCAATATTTGCTACAAATATCTCCTTCAGGCTGATATCTTTCACTTCTTTTCATTCATTCCCATTTTTTTTCCAAGATCCACTCTTATCACTACCAAGTAATGATCTGACTCACAATCACAGTCTTTCATCATTCCTATTTTCATCACCATTTTTCTCAGTGCTTCATCACGAGCAATCAAACCAATCTTGCTTTTAAGTTTATATTTATTTCTTTGTTGTATTTATATCTGAATAGATTTATGCTTGATATTGACCTTTTTCTAAACATTCATCTGTAACCATTGAGTTGTTTTGGGTGGGTTTTTCTTTTTGAGTGTCTGATCCAGACATTTTTTCTATTCGCTTTTTCT